GAAAAAGTTGTTTATATTGAAAAACAAGGGAGTAAAATTTAAAAAAAAATAAAAATGATTGAAATTTAATACTAATATTAATAAAAAAATTATTATATAAAACGCTACAATTAAAGATATTTTAAAAAAAATAAAATTGAAATTTAATATTGATAAAAATTATTTTATAAAACGCAATATTTAAAAATAAAACGCGACCAATTAATTATTTCATTCCAAATATTCAATATTTGATTAATTTATTCTGCTTCAATTATTCTTAATCAAATTCGATATCCGTTAAATTAATTTTATTTTGATTACTCGACGATTTTTATTCTATTACGACGTTATTCAATAATACCTACATTCTAAAATCATTCAAAATCTTCGCATATATATTTAATAACAAACAATGATAATAATTAACAGTAGGATGACAAAGTCAAATCATATAAACAACTAAACCGTTTTTCAAAGATTTGGAGGGAGTAAGACAAGATAAGAAAGTTTACAAACAAAAACTAACTAATACTAGATATGACTATACCCATATGATGCCATATATTGAGAACAACAAACATTATGATAATAATTACAAACATCAGTTAAGACAACCATGGCAGATTCGACCATATTATAGCAACCAAAGGTTTTACAACCAAAATAACTATCATTTTTCAAGACGAAACTATGACAGATTTTATGATAAAAATATATGGGAAACTCCTTGAACACGTAAGATTTACGTCTAAAGAGAACCTAGGCGGGGTTCCTTTAGAGGGTGGAATGTTAAACATGGATAATTATTATATTATACTGGTTGTTATATAGCGCAAATTTTTATATGTCGCATTCATTTAATTAACACAATTTATATTAACTTCACTTAATAGTTACATTTAATTTTTTTAATAGATTTTTTGTATATATAAAGAATAAATTTATTGTATATTTGGAGTTAAATATTTTTAAAATATATTTATTTAATAAAAGTTTTAAATCTTGTCTAACTCCCTGCTAGTGTTGTTAAACGGCTCGTTTTGAACCGATTTTTAAAAACGGCTAACTCAATCTTTTAGCCAGAAAATTATTGCTTAAGCCTCAAGATTTTGATAATATATGTCTAGACAGCTGTTCTTTCTATTAGCTGAATCTTCAGACATACTTAATATTTTTCTGGATGAAGTAGTGAGTTAGCCGTTTTTAAAAATCGGCTCAAAACGAGCCGTTTAACAACACTACTCCCTGCCAACCTTAACAGATATACATTCTATTACTACAAATGGAATCTGACATATTTATTTTAATGATAGCCTTTTTATTCTTAAGAACATTATTTTTGCATATCGGAGCCCATATATGCCAAATGGAATCATTATTTTTTTTTATATAAATACATTGTAAAATAAAATTGAAACTATAAATTTTTCATCTAAGGTAATATAACTCATTAAAAAAACTTGGACTTTAAAGGATTAAAAGACGAAAATTGTTAATCTTTATTTTTTAAAAAACTATTTCACATTTATAATGAAATCGAATTATAAATATAAAATATTTATGCTTTTTTTCTTATAATTACAATAAAAATATCATTTTCATATATGTGAGGTGACAATTGTATTTAACAATAGTCTCAGGCCAGTAAACAAGGCCGCGAGGGCGCCCCGTGCTCAAAATATTAGTCTATTATAAGGACCGCTAATTTTACATGAGAAAAGAATAAGATATATTATGCTATAAAATTTATACAATTATAAAAATTTTCCAATTTTTAACCTCTCTTTATCGTTTATCTGAACAAATTATTTTTCAAAACGAACTTTTATAAAAAAATAATTTTTGAATAATCATAATTTTTTTATTAAAAGTCAACGGAATATCTATAAAATAATTTTAAAAAATTTTAAATAAATTTATAAGCTTAAAATCTATTGCATGAAAAAAAATCGAAATAATCTATAAAAAAATATCTATAAACTTATTGAATAAAAATAAAATTGTGATTTTTTTACAAAAGAGTTCTTAAATATATGTACGAAACCTTATGAGATTTGTGGAAAATAATATAAGATTTATATTTTTTTATAATGTAGGAGGTTAGGAATGACATTAACTAATATTCTTTTCTAAAATATTATCCACTGCGATATTTGCACATTATTAATTACTCTTATAATAATACTCCCTTCATAAAAAGAATAACTTTTATCTATCAAAAGTGAACATAAAAAAAGTTATTTAGAACAGGAATTTAATAAAAAACCCCCACATTTTCTATGAATACATTATTATAGTATATTGTTTGGCATATAAAAATTTATTTTTTAAAATTACTACTTTTTTTTAGTTAACATTATCCAAAATTCCTTTTTTTAGTAGTTTAAAAATTAAATTTCCAAATTTTTACAGGGCAGTGTCGCTACTGAGTCTAATAATAGAAATCTCCTTTTTGATTACACTTAAAATGATAGCAGAAATTTCCATAAATTGTTTTATTTGGTGTTTTGCAATACATAAATTTGGTGGTTGTTTAGCAAAACAATTGTATTATAAAATAGTCTATGATAAAAGTATTAAACTATATTGAATAAAAATATATTATTTAAAAAAAAAAAATTTACAACAATACATTTTGCCCTATTTTATCTAAAATTTAATAACCCTACAAAATTAACACTACCCCTAGTCTATCCCACTTAAATCCCTATCCCCCTCAAAAAGAATTGGATGCAAACTGTTCCTATCCCTACCGCTCATATAGATGCGCACGTTAATAATTAGTTGGTACTTCCTCAAATACAAAAGTAAACAATTTAATATTTTGATAAAATTATTGCATAATATTTTTCCCCCTTTTAATTAACGATAGTTCAAGATTGATATACCTACAAAATATTTACATCATTCGTATTATCGAATCGAATAATTCCTTATTTATATCCCTACAAATAATAAAAACATTATTCGATTCGATAATTAAATTCTTTAAAGATATTTTCAAAATAAAAAATCTTGAAAACTTTTTAAAATGAATCCTTGAATATATATTTTTTTAAATGTATGATTTCATCTTGGAAGATTTCTTGCCTACCAAAATTATAATATATTTACTTATAAAAGATTATTATTAAAATTTAAAAAGTGATTTATAGATGCAGAAATAAGGTTTAAAAAAAATGCTTTATAGAGAACATGTTAAATACTTACACATAATTTTAAATATTCATGAATAGCTTTCAATTATTTAGGAATAAATACTATAAATTTTGAATAATATGAAAAAATAAACTATACGAATAATTCGATCGAATTATGGATAAAAATTTATTGAATCGAAAATTCGTTTTAGATATTATTGTGAAAGATATTTTTCTCATGTAAAGAATATATAAATCGTTCCTTAGCCATGACGCCATTGATTGTTAAAATAATAATATTTCATATGATTAAATATTAATTGTTGAGCTAAAAATTTTCTAAGATTATTTTGATTATTTTGTAATATACTTTTATGAAATACCATTGATGTACCAAATTTAAAGCAAATAAATTTATTGAAATTTTTTTTAATGAATAAATTATGTTTAATGTAAAAAATTATTTTTTTTTATATAAATTTACGTTATGAATATAAATTTGTTCGAAAGATCGATATAGATAGGGGTATTTTTTTTTAATATCATATTCTAATAGAAAATACAAAAAATATTGATTATGTATTTTACGCCCTCATAATAAGTGATTATGTGCGAAAATATGGGCAAACCATGTAAGTAATATTTCAAGGCTAAAAAGTCATCTCTACCAGACATTAGAATTTTTTTTAAAATTTTTTTAAATCTCAAGAACCAGCTAAAAAATGATAATAATGCTTCTTTAAAATGTTAGACTATTTGTACCCCAACAGTTATAGAATATTCAACAATATAAATATATTTTATTTATTAAAATTTTTATTAATTAAAATATACTATTTAATATAAAATATTATACATAAGTAAAATTAAATATATTCATTATCAGATTCATAAATTATTTTAAGAATTTGATATTCTTTTTTATGTCAAATTTTATGCGATAATTGTAATAATTTTCTTTCATAAAGTTACCCATTTTTAATTCATATCTAATAAAAATAATAAATTATATTTTCATAAATATAAATACCCATTTTTTGGCTTTTATTGGTTTTCCCGTTTGGTTTATGAACCGCACCATTTGATAAAGCATTTGTTTTTGCTTGACCAGTAATATATCAATTTCTGAGGTTAAATCATCATTGATTGTATCATTATCTAATTAATATAAAACATTTTATACATTAGAATAATTCTGACTTTAGTCAATAGATTCAGATATAAAATCACTGACTAATACGTTGTTAAACTCATTAATATATATTTTTTTCTTGGTTAAATATATATATATAATGAAATTTTGTATAATAGAAAAAATCAAGTTAATTATAAATAGTAAATTAATTTTATTATACAAAATTTTAAATTAAGCCCTCCACTAAAAAAACTGACTTTCTTTTCTTAACTTTTAAAAATTTTAATCAAATATAGAACACTATTAAATTTTTCTAGCATAAAAACATAGTGATTTTTATTAAGCTTGAGTTTGAAAATAAGTATGCTATTGCACATTTGTTTAAAAATTTCGTATCTCTTAAACCTATTTAGGTAAATTGAAATTACGACCTCCTCTTTTGCATTCATATATCACTTTCCTATGATTATATATTGGATAATCATGTTGTGTTGAGCGAATATATGTTATAAAATGTTTGAGAGTTGAAATATTATCGAATTTCATTCCATTCATTAATTAAAAAATAAGTTTAAAAAATTTTAAATTATCACCTTTTCCAGAATTTATAGGACAATACAAAACAAATTAGATCAATATCCTTAAATTTTTGAAAATTGGGTATATAAATGATTTAAAGACTAAAACCAGTAAATAATTTTATCCAGCTGATTTATTATAGTTATTTTAATTTCGACATTTTGTCGATTATCTTTTCTTTCTAATTTAATGGCTAATCGGACTGTTAAAGATGCTAGGACTATAAAAGGAACAAATCCTCAATATTTAATTGAAAAAATTATAAGGACCAGAATATATGATTCAAGATATTGGAAGGAAGAATGCTTTGCCCTTTCTGGTTTTAATATATTAATTTTTTTTATTAAACATCTATCTAGCTGAATTAATTGTTGATAAGGTGCTAGAAATAAGATATCTAGGTGGTGTTTATGGCGGAAATGTTAAACCTACTCCATTTCTATGCTTAGTTTTAAAGATGTTGCAAATTCAGCCAGAGAAAGATATAATAGTTGAATTAATAAAGAATGAAAATTTTAAGTATGTAATTGTATGTAATATTTTCTTATTATTAAATTTTAGATATATGCGGGCTCTTGGAGCTTTTTATTTAAGATTAACGGGGACATCTTTAGATTGCTATAAATATTTGGAGCCTCTTTATAATGATTATAGAAAATTACGATACATGAATAGACAAGGAAGTATCTATAATGCTTTTTATTAAAAATAATTACACATTTAGAATTTGAATTACTTTATATGGATGCATTGATAGACAAACTTTTGCATGATGACAGATACTGTGATGTAATATTACCACGTATTCAAGTAATAGATAATATAATTACAATTTAATGAATTATATATTTCATTAAGAAAAGAGATGTTTTAGAAGAATCTGAAAATTTGGAACCGAGAATAAGTGCATTAAATATTGATATGGATGAGAATGTTTCTACAGCCGAAGAAGATGATACACACAAGAGAAAAGTATATTTATTTTATGATTATGTTTGCCAATCTCCTCTTCTTTGATTATGTTAAACTTTGTTCTTCAATTTTCTATCTTGTTTAGTTATTCATTTATTAAAAAAAATAATTACACACTTAAATTTAAAATTGAAAACTACCTTCTGGTTTTTTTTAAAATTTTATATAAGCTTATTTATTTTTGGTAGAAAATTTTTAACTTTTAATAAATTATCAAATCTATGTTCATAAGTGGGATTTAATAATATTTTATAAGTTAATATAGTAATTAGTAGTGGAACCTTTATTAATTATAAACAATTAGTTGCATTAGTAATATTTTATGAAATAAAACAAATCCTTTTGAAACTCAAGATTGCTCTCTTTAACCATCTTTTCAATGACGTTAATATAGTTGGAATATGTTTAATTCTTTATAAATTAAAGTATTTTATTAAAAATCTAACTTTTATATGAGATCTATTTTTATCAAATTTACCTAAATTTTTCTTATGAAATGTGAATTCTTCTATATTTAATCTATTTTTATTTTGCAGAGAAGCATATCTCCTCAAAGATTAAAAATTAGGAAGAAAAAGTTAGTAATTAATTTAAAACATTTAATTAGTTAATTATTCAAATATATTTTTTATTATTTCTGGCAATTAATTATTTTTATTCTAAATTACACTTGTTTTTTTACAATGCCACATAAATTAACAAATATCAGGAGTAAGATATTTAAAAAAATATATCCAACTACATTTTAGGACTTTTGGCTAAATTTTGAGGCTTAGGTTATAATATATTTTCTAAAATCTTGATTTAATCTTTTTTAATTTGGCTAAATGAAGATTTTTAACCACACTACATAAATCCATAAACATTGCAAATATTTTAAATGTGAATATTAACTTTTGGAGAATAAAAAAAACGAAATACACTTTTGTAAAAGTGTTTTTTTTAAATAGATTTTTTTATTATAGTTCAAAGATATGGTAAATTAAAATCAATTATAAATATTGGAGTGGTGAAAAATTTGTGGATCAAAAAATACAATTTAAATAAAGAAATAATTGTCCTGAAGAAAAATATTGCAATTAATATTTATTCGCACTTTTAAAAAAATATAAATAATACAATTGTAATATTTATTTTTCATTCAAAGTTGGGCTTGGTAAATTTTTTTATTTGACTTTCACTTTCAAAATTGTTTCTAAAAGATATCCATTTTCCCTCCAAAAAAGCTCCCCTAGACTACAAAAAAACGTTTTAAAGGAGCGTTTGGCTGAGTGGGTCATTCCACCTAGAATCGGAAATTACATTTTAATAGATGAGAGATATTTTACTTATTAGTTATATTTGTATCACATTTCCTAAAGAATAATTAGTTACCGTTATATCAAAAAAAGTGAAAACAACGCCAACCTAGAGTCCCGCAAATTCCTTTTTTTTGCCCGAGTCTAGGACCCCGCCAAAATTTTTTTAAATAATTTTTAAATGCGAGCTTGGGATACAGAGCAAAATTTTAATTTTATTTTAGGCCTGAGTTCAATTTTCTTAATAGACCTGGACCGACATTTTTAATAGTAAAATATAAAATAAAACCCATTTTTTTAAATAAAGTTAAATAAAATTAAAAAAATAATAAATTGCTTTGTTTTAAATTCAGAGAAATTCTAATTATTGAAAAGAAGCAAAAATGTCATTTTGCATTTTTTAAAAATTTAAGTTTGTCCTGATTTAATCTTTTAAGCCAGAGCCCGACTTCAGGTCCCCAAGGGCTTTAACTTTGACCAATAAGCTCTACACTTCAGGCCACTAAATCAAATGCCGCCTCGGATCCAATCATTTTAACAAATAATTTTATATAATGGCAGAAGGAGCAGCAAGGCGCTAAAGTGATAATACCGCCTAACCTATAATTCAGGGATTCGAACCGAACCCGAACCCGGAGAAGTGAACCCGGGTTTTTAGAAAAAAACTCTGAACCCGAACCGAACCTGAACCCATTTATAAAATTTTCAAAACCCCGAACCGAACCTAAGAATTTTATTGAACCCGGGTTCAATCGGGTTCAGTGTATTATTTAAAATCATATATTAATATATGTAAATACAAATATTATATTTTCAAATTTCCAATTAAATGAAGTCTTAATAAATTTTAAACAACTTAATTCATTTATGCCATTTTTAAATTTATTCTCGATTCCTATTGGAGTGTTAAAAAATTTTAAACAATTGAATTAATTTACGCCATTTATTTTTAAATTTTTATCTTATTATTCTTAAAGATTATTAATTAGAAGAAAATGGTTAACAAATCAAAGTAAAAATTATTATATTGTTAATTTAAAAAATTCTAAACATCTAACTTAAAAATTGTTAAATGTAGGGCAGTTTTTGTGAACTTATTAAAATGATTTTAAAATTTATATATGCTAATCATTTATTTTTGGTTCAGTTTAATTTTTACAAGATAATAATGAAGTGCATATTATAAATGAAATTAAATTTATAAATATCTCTTTTTTAATTCTGAAATCATTGCTATTTAAAAAAATTGTTCTCTTTTTATAGATTTAAGATTAAAGATAAAGTCATATTTGATAAGCATTTTACCCTTAATACAATAGAAAAAAAATCAATATGTTCATATTGCAAAGTAAAAATGTCTGGTAATCACTTGTCAAATTTAGAAAGACACCTGGAAAGAAATCACAACAATGAATATTTAAATTATTTAAATGAAAAAACCAAATATCAGGAATTGTTATTGGCAAAAAAACCTTAAATTAATATAGAAACCTTTTTTCCAAAAAAGCATATAAGTATAAATATATCATCTAATGATTTGATGAGTTCTATACTAGAACTTGTTACTGTAAATGGCCGGCCTTTATCAATTATTGAAGATTCGGGATTTCAAAGAATTATAAATCCACTCCTATCTGGGCTCAATTTAGTTATAAACAAAGAAAATTTATCCAGAACTATTAATAAAACAGCCCAATCAATTAGAGACAAAATATCGAGAGAGGTAGAAGGAAAATTAATAAGTTTAAAAGTTGATGCAGTTCAACGACTAGATAGGTCAATTCTTGGTGTAAATATTCAATTTATATCAAAGTCCATTATAAATTTGAGGACTCTTGGAATTGTAGAGCTGAAAGAGAGATTTACAGGAGAATATATAAAAGAGAATATATTAAAAACTTTACTAAAATTTAAAATTAATATTCAACAAATATACACAATTACTTCTGATAATGGTTGTAATTTTTTAAGAGCTATAAAGCTCCTGCAACCTGAAACTGATTATGATATAAGGAGTGAATCAGCAGATGAGAAAAATATGGATGTAAATGTATATAAATATGATATTGATGATATACAAAATACTTTTTTATCAACTATTATATCCTATCCGATTTATAGTGTACGGTGTGCAGCTCACACACTTCAGCTGGCACTTCAAGATGCTATAAAATTATCACCTATTGTGAAAACCATTGCAAAAGCTAGGAGCCTAAATTTAAAATTAAGACATCCCACTTACCAAAAGTTATTAAAAAATATGAAACTCCCTAAGCCTGTGTTAGATTGCCACAGATGGCATTCAACCCATGATATGTTAGAAAGGCTGATTTTACTAAAACCCAATATCGAAGATTTTTTTACAGAGCAATCTGATTATTTATTGACTGAAAATTGGAAAGAGATAATAACGATTGTTGAAATTTTAAAACCGCTAAAAATCGCAACCAAACAATTCCAATCTGAACAGTTAACACTGACAGATTTTTATGCAGCATGGTATGCTGCATCGAACTGGAAAAAAATCCAAACCATTATGCTCAATTACTATATTCTTGTCTTAAGAACAGAGAAGAAAGGTTTATAAAGAACGAAATTCTCTTAGCTGCCATATACCTGGACCCAAGATACAAGGTTAATTAAAAGCTTAGTAAATTAATTATTTTAGATTTATATTAAAATTGTTATTTTATGAAATATTTAAATATAAACAATATAAATCCTTAAATATTACAGGTATTACTTAGTGATGATGATAAGATTTGTGCGAAAAAACATCTTGTCAATTTATGGAGACGAATTAAAAGCTTAACAACGCCGATTTTATCTGATGATATTAGTTCCGATGAAGTTATTGAACAAGAAGATGATTTAGAGAAATTGATACAACTTAAAGAAAGGCAGGAGAAAATACTTAAAAGAGGGCCAACGATTGCTGAGAAAAGTATTGGAACAATAATTACTGGATTTAGCGATTATAAAAGATTAGATAAGAAGGAAAATATTTTGCATTTTTGGGAGTCTGCTAAGCTGGAACACCCTGAATTATATATTTTATCTAAAATCTTATTTGCTGTTCCTGCAACCCAAGTTAATTTTTCATATTTTCACATATAAATACATTTAGCATAGGTTAGCGTTGAAAGATCTTTTTCACATTTGAAATTCATTCTTTCACCACATAGATCGAGGATGAGTGAACAACTCTTGGAAGAAATTATGCTAATACGTCTAAATAAAATTTATAAAATTGATACATGACTATATGCTTTGTATTTTTAACTATATTTGCCTATAAATAAAATAAAAAATTTATTTTTTATATCAAATTTATGTTTAGTTTTTTATTATGATTTAAATATAGAATTTTTTTTATCAACTCAAAAATTCTTGAACCCGAACCGAACCCGAACCAAACCCGGGTTCAAAAATATTTCCCTAAACCGAACCCGAACCGAACCCACCTTTTTTTTATACCCCGAACCGAACCCGAACCGAACCCGGGCAAAAATTTTGTCGGGTTCGCATCCCTGCTATAATTCATATAAGGTAACCATGTTATATAACTAGATACTCTTTTGAGTAACTTTAACAACGCTATTCTTTCCTTGAGTAAGGATTCTAATCATTTCTTCTTTTATCTGAAATATATCCTCTGGACTTAAAGAAACATCCCCGTTAATTTAATATTAATAAAGAGAAAATTTTTTTATTCGTGATTTGTCATTTACCAACACGCTAACAATTTTTTTTATGAAACACATTTTATTAATTGCACTTTTTTGTATTAAATTGCGTTCTATTAATTTTTTTGCTTTTATAAAGATTTAATAGTAAAATTAAAACGAAAATTGGACTTAATATTTTTAATAACCTGCTTGCCACTCATTCGGCATCTTCCAACTTCACGAATCTAAGAACACTCTCCCCCTCCCGCAAATCTAAATGAAATACCATTAGTCTATACATATTAACAATCTTTATTTAAAAAGAAATATATATATCATAGACCTGCAGAAACACCATTTGCCCAGCCCGGATTTTTTTGGGAAAAATTTTTTTTGGTTTGATCCAGATTTTATATTTTGTGACCCAGCCCAGATTATTTTTTTTTTTAAATTTCAGGCACGTTTGGTTTTTTTATAAATATATTATATTTATTTTTAATTTTTTATAGATGATATTGAAATATTTGGTTTTAAAATATAGGGCCCGGCCAGGCTTGGGTATTTTAAAAAAAATTTTTAAGCCTAGCCCGGTTATACTTTAAAAAACTAAATACGGTCTTCTGACCCGTATATCCAGACCAGACCTGCAGGTCCATGATATTAATTTCAAAATAAAATGATGTATAAGATATATATTTATATTAACAAGTGCAGTTTTCTAATTTTAACTTTCTTGAAATAAATCCTATGCTCAAATTTTAAAGAGCGTTTTCCTAAACAAGAATTGCATAAAGTGCTTGCCATTTGAAACCTAAAAAAAATAAAGTTATTCTTATTTAATAAATTAGGTGTTTTGTCGAAGGTTCAGATTAACACTCAAATTGCACAATATGAGAACAAAAATTTTAAATTATGGATGAATTATAATTTGGTTATTATTATAAATAATCTATTTTAGACACAAAAAGAGTGAAAAAAATAAATCTAGAAGTAAATCTAAAGAAGGGGATCACCATTCCTCCCACCACTCAAAGCACCATAAGGTAAATGGAGAATCAAAATCAGAAAAATCAAATTCCAAGTTAGTTATTAATATTTTTTAAATTTAATCAACCAATCAAATTTTTAAATTTTTTTTAATATTTATTTGCTTATATACACAAATCTTCATTCTTATGTTTTGTTATCATTGGTCTTAAATTCAAAGATTGAACCGTATTGGCCTTAACCCTCTAGTGCGTAACTTTTTAATTCAGAATACTGAATTTATATCATCATTACATTTATTTACAAGTATAAAATTATGGATAAATTTAAAAATAGAAAAATGTCAAATTTTTTTATGGTCATTTATTTAAATTGATGCTCGTTGAGGGTATGCGATAAATTTAAAATAAATTTTTTCAAGTTTTTATAAGTCATAGTGAGACTTTACGTATTCCTTTTGAATTCGGTGAGAAAATTTTTAAAAAAATAGAAAATATAATATTTTGAATATTCAAGATTTTAGTGTTTCTCTCTTTTGATCTTATCGTTTCTCTTATTACATTATCGTTAGTCTTGTTATTAGTTTGGCTGTTATCGGTATTAATCTTGTTTGTAACTCGCAGTATCGTTATCATTAATTTGTTGTTTCTTATTTTTTCCTTTATTATTATAACATGGAATATCGAATATTGCGAAATATTGAATCAGAATAATTGAAGAGCAATTTCACACAATTGGACAATTATTTTTACATATTGCGCGTTTTACGGCAATTTAGTTTTACAGGATAAGGGTAATATAAGCTATTCATTGTATGTTATTCTAAATGTTTTCCATATTATTTATCTCAATTTTGTGTAGTATTCACATTCACATTATAATCATCGAGATGTTTTAGTGGTCATTTTATTCCCAAAGGCATCCATTTATTATCAATTTCTGTCGATTTTTTTTATTACTAAGGTTATTTCCAACTGAAGATTTTTTTAAAGAGGTTTCTAATATTTTTAAAAATTTTTTTAGTTTCCAAACAAAGGATAATTATTTCGCGAATTATTTTTTTGTTTAATATAATATTTAAAAACATGGTAGTTCAGCGCTCTTCTCAGACTCCATTTATTTGATAATAAAATGCAGATGATATCGATTTTTATAAACGATTAAATGGCGCATGAGAGCGGACCACCATCAATTTTTTTCTTTTAAACATGAATTCGAAAAATTATTATTCTTTGTTTGGATCATATAAAAATTGTCAGATGCACGACAGGAAAAAATTAAGAATATAATGTAAATCCGCAATATGTAGCCTTTAAAAATATATATTGTATGAAGTTGGTTTCGTTTAAAGTATAGTAGGCGTTTAAAAGAAAATAAAGTATTAATATGTAGGTCTGAGCAGAACTTGGTGCGCTATAGGGTTAAATTATTATGATTGATTTTTTAAATCTGACAAGCTAAACGATGTCTAATATATGTTAAGCAAAAAATTTTGAATTTCAAAATTTCAAAAAAATGAATTTTTTGATTTTCACCGCCTTATATGCTAATCTCAACATCAATTTGACCCTCTCCTTCCCTCTTAGATCCTTGAGTTGCAATTTTGGGATTCACAATCTTATACAATCCTATAATAAAGTTTAGATAATATTTACATTGTTTTTCTACAGAATATCCAAGGAAGAACTAGAAGTCGAAAACGCAAGGCGAAAAAAATTGGGTATCCAACCTTTGAGGGCTTAATATTTTTGTAGTGAATTACAAAGGAAAATTTTTATTTTCATCGTGTATCATTTATAAATTTAGACCCGTACATATATTTTGTAATATAAATAATAATTTATATAAATTGTACATAAATAATATTTCTGTTAAATCGCCATAAAACGGAGAAGAAGAAGTAGAGTTGTTATTTGTTAGGTAGATGGGTTCGAGCCAAGCGGCTCAACTAAGGATATTAAAAAAGAAAAATACTATTTTTGTTTAATATAAAAAATGAGGGAAAATCATGCAATATTATTTTGACGAAATTTTAAAATAAAATTTATAAAATTAATTATTTTAAATAATAATAAACTTAATTTAACAAAATGGGCGGGATATTATAATAATTATTATAATGAAAAATTTAACATAATATTGATAAATTATATTTAAGATAATTGTAATTTTTAAAAATTTATAATAATAATTGGTAGATTAATTTTCATAAAGATAGTAATAGTAATAAGAAACATTTTTTTATCCCCTAATCTCAATTCATTTCAATATTTTGATCGAAAATTAACTTCTATTCGACTCCAATAATGATATTCATTATTCTGTTAAGTCGGGTTCGATTTTTATACTAAATCTTCCTAATAAGTGAGACAATTTTTTTCTATCCGATTAATAGCACAAGTTTTATTAGGTTGCATAAGGTTTTCGCCATATATATACATTCATTATAAATTTATATCTTGTTTTTTTTTTAAAAAAAACATTAAATCCCTTTTTTATGCATCTTATCCTAAGTTTAGGCTTTCAAATAATGTTTTTCGATTTGCATTTAGGTAAGGAATATCGTGAATCATTTATAGTAATAAATTTAAAGATTTATTACATTTAGTTGTCGGGTATAAGATTTGGAGATATAATCGTATTCGCGTAATTACTAAATATTAGAATCGTATTCGCGTAATTACTAAATATTAGGCCTATTCAAATACGAATAATGAATTATTCATATTCTATTCTTTTTTTTATAAGAATCGAATAATTTACTCGTTTTTACGAATAGTAATATACTATTCTTGATCGATTGATAAAAATTTTTTATCTAATCAAAGAAATGTATATAGTTTTTTGAATAGACCAACTAAATATAAATTATGTTAACAAAAATAAACTATTAAATATTTGAATCTCTATTCTTAATATACAAGGCAAATTTATAAAATTTTTAGACTCAACCTGGTTGGAATTTGGACCTTGCCCGCTCCCGCCAAATTTTTACCCGGCTCGGCACATTTCTAATTTTTTATTAAGATTTTCCGGCCAGATGTTTAAATTCAAAGCCCAACCCGAAATATATGTAGTTGAACACCAAATAAACAACTATTTACAATATTAGTGAGTGGTTAAATGAAATCCCCTCACTTTATAAAATATTACTATCAAATATCTGAATTCATCAATAATTCAGCTTAATTATTTTTTATGCCTCACCCAAAAAAATTTCAAACGTTGCCCAGGCCGGGCATTGAAGACCTCTAATCGGAAATAAGACTTATCCCGCCGATGTTTCAAAAAACCGTAATATTTTTGGATATTTAATAATAATATTATTTTATACATAATTTCTTAATAATAATATGAATGAAAAGGAACATGCAATTTACTTGTATGTTGAAAAAATTTGAATTTTTGGACTATGTATAAATGTGAGATTAAAAAAAAAATATTTGATTTTTAAATGTATTTTTTATCTTTTACAAAATAAAAAAAGTCCAGGGGACAAAAATCTGAACAAAAAGACACGATAAAAATACCTCAGTTTAAAATAAAATTTTTAATCTTTTTTTTTGTTCTTTCCCCATAGTTTACAGTTATTTTTTTGCATATAAAATATTAATCTTTTGTTCAAAGATAGACGATAAATAATAATCTATCAAAATATCGAATAGGTTTTATAAAAATATGTAGGATTGGTGAAAATTTTGTGGATCGGTAGAGCCTTAATCAGAACCTTCGTGAATTTAGGTTTTTAATTTTCATTTTAGATTCTGATTACAAACAGGGTCAAGATTTCTTCAAATTTATTTGAAATTAAAAATGAACTTATGTCAAAATCCTCATAATCAAACCTTGGCTCTTACTGGCACCTTAAAGGTCCCTAAGTGCGAAATATTTTCAATTTTCCCAACTGCCCATCGACTTTCCTTTCCCATCCACTAACTGCTCGAGCCTATTCCACTAATTGGAAGGATGATTAGTAGTCAATATTTATTCAACAATCTTTTATCATTCCTAATTCAGATAACTCCTTTTTTAAAATTCTTAGCACCTAATCAAGCATTTTTCTTAAATAAATCATACATGACTTTCGGTCATCTCCCGTTTATTTAAAGGATTCCATTCTTAACCTTATCGATAGAATTAAATTCTTAAAAATGAAAATCTTTAACATTATTTTCACCATTAACTTGGCAACAAACAGGCCATTCTGTTAAACAAATATGGCGACGGTAACATTCGTTCACCAAAAACCATCGCGATAGCTTCCTTCATTTCTTCGCAGTTATCATCTGACCCAGCGTCTACATGACAGAATTTTCACTGAATGCAAACCCCCTTTAAAAACCTATGCCTACTCCCCTAAAAATTTTCACCGCCTTCAGCGGCGATGTTGCCTTATTTTTAATTTCACATTTTTAATTATAATGATTCTCTTTCAGAAAATTTAAAGAATAACTTAAATTATTTTATCTCTACTACCAACTATGACATTTTGTGAATATAATAAAGTAGTTATTTTTTAGATAATAAATTCAATTAAAACCCCCATCATTTACAATGAATTCATTATTATAGCATTATGAGCTTGCTGAAAATGTCTAAACCTTTTAAATTACATTTGAAAGGATAGCAGAAAGTTTTATTAAAAAATAATGTCTATGATTGTTTGCATTATATAGATTTGGTTGATGAATTGTATTATAATAGGTCTATAATAAAAGTATTAATTTTTACAGCAATTAGATAACCCCCCAAAAAATTTATTCTACCCCCATTAAAGCCGCCTCCACCCCCCTCAAAATAATAGGATGAAAATTGCCCCCCCCCCCACCGTTCATGTAGACGCTGATCTGACCCAAATATTTAATGTATCATTAATTTACCCCATCTTCAGTTGATAAGCTCTTTCCAGGGATCCTGCAAGTTGGAAACCTCACTCCGTTCTGTGGATACGGACTCAAAAAGAATGGGTCCTTGCTTTTATGGCTCGTTTTATTACGTTCTTAATTCAAACTTGTAATGAGAGATATATTTAAAGTTGGCCTTGGATAATGGCTAGTTGAGATATTCTAGTACCAATTTGGGACTTCACTGAGGAACTTCGTATAGCAGTTTTACGCTTAGGATGGATAATTGTTTTTCCTTATATTTATAATTATGTAAAGAGCACTGCAAATTCAGCAAAGGTAAAAGCACTACTCTATTAGGTAAATTCTCAATAACGCAGGGTCCCCATCTACTCTGGAACTCATAGGCTCAACCCAGTCGACGGAAAAAACCAGACGGTATAATAATCATTTCATTCAAAAAAATGGAAAAGAATAAGCGGAATGTAATTTCGAAATGCATTAACAAACGGAAATGCGAAAATTTAATAAATTCTTCTTTTTTATCTATATTATTTTTATTCCTTGTAACGACCACATTGGGGAATTTTGCCCTGAAGCTATTAAATTGTTAAAATTTTTAGACTAAAATCTCATTAAAAACTGGAGATCCTAAATTTTTAGTGCTTTAAAGTTACTTCAAAAAAGAAAAGCGACCTTTTGAAAAAAGGAACGCGCGTTACTGACTAAAGTAATTAAAAAATAACTAGTTACTTGAAAAATTTATTATATAAAAAATTTCTTATATATATATAAATAAAATATATAAAAATAATATTTTATAAGATGAGATCTTTTTAGGATATTTTTTAATTTTAACGATTTTCAAAATTTTGATTATATAAACAAGAGTGTGCTCAACTCATCTTTCGCCATGCTAAACGCATGTTCGTTGTATTATATTTTAATTGGGCAATTTATTAAAAATTAAAGAATAATCCTCATTTCGTATCGAAGGCTCTAAAAAGAGCTTAATTATATAATGAAATATACCTAAAATGTAAGTATAATTGTGTTTAATAATTTCCAATTAGTAGTTTTTGTTTAAGAAAAAGGGATTCGCGATTTTCGTTTGATGCTAAAAAATTTTCGTGATAAAGTTTTTGAAAAAATATATGTAGTTAGTTGAAATGACTATTGGCGAAATATAATTTAATTTTGAATATTTATTAATTTTTTTATTTTCCCCACAAGTAAGAGGGTTTGTATTAATTGATGAAGGAAAGGATGATACTCAGGTTGCATCCCATATAAGGGATTTACCATTGGACCAGAGAATGCAGGTTAAGCCGTCTGGTCTGAGGCCGTCTTGTAATGAGAGGTTGGTAAGTTCAAGGATGTTGTGTATTTTTGCCTTATTAATTAAAAGCGTTATGTATGATTTTATTAATTGCTTTATGCCGGAGATGGTGTCCTTGGCTGCGGATGCAGTTTAGACCGTGTCTGGCGTTAGGTTGAACGGGTAGGCTGCATTGGCGGCAAGAGTGTAAACGTGTAAGCGAACATCCAAGTCTAAAGCCTATAGTAACTCTCAATTGGTCATTGGTTACGAGATTATCTAAACTTTGGCTTGGAAGTGCCTCGAGCCATTCATGCCCGCCATATTTATCTTTGTTTTGTAATAGTTTTATATCGCTGATTTCGGTAGGATCAAGATATTTTGTAATTTTTATTTTGTAAATTTTTTATTAGGGGTTCGATGATAGATTTGTTAGAGATTTCGATAAGAAATGTATAACCCACTGGAGTTAGGAGATTCCATCTTTCTATTGCTGCTGAATGAAGATCATCATGAGGAGTTATGAATGATGAGATCGAAGAATTGAGCGATAGGCGATTTGATATAAATAGAGAAAGGGAAAGTAGTTCCAAGGGGATCAAGTCGAAACCATCTAGTTTAGAGGGTAATTGGGTTAGGTGACAATTAAAGTCTGATAATGGAAGGTTGAGGATCCTTTCTATAAAGGTCTTTAGCGAATATTGTGTTGAATGAAAAATTTTGAGGAGGTGGATGAGTGGAAGAGATGTGAGATTTTGGGAAGATATAAACACTTTTTTAATAAGTAAAAAAGCTGGTGCGATGGAATGTGGTTGATGAACATTTC